AATGTGGATTGTTTTAGGGCTTTTAATTTACTTTAACTTTCTTAATGCAATATAATTTTAAGTCCTGGAGGCTTTCTTTTTTCATAATAATTAATTTCATGGCATGGGCATGTTTCTTAGACTAAATCTCTCTTGCAGCAGACAGCTTGGACTCCTTTCCCCTCCACGTACCATGTACGCAGAAACCTGTCTATTCTCTAAGCCATTCTATGAAGAATGAGTGATATAATGTGTATGAAGGGCAAATATTCCATGACTAATCACATTAGGAAAACATGTTAACTTGATGCTGATTGTAGATATTTGAAACTTGTAAAATAAGAAAGGATAAAACTAAAATTTGCGTGTTTATTTTCTTTTTAATGGGCTTCCCACTACTTATGCTTAGCTATTGCATAGTACGCAAATTTGAATATGCCAAATTAACTTCCTTGTAAGTTTCATTTCATTACAAAAGAAAGTAAAGGAGAATTTATTATGGAGAGAGCACTAAAGTTAATACATTTATACAATATCGTATTATATATGTATAATATCTATAATAATAAAAGCATAGTATGCTAATTAGACCAGATGTCCTTCCAGATGTCCTTCCTTCCAGACAAAGCTGCAGCGGGTGGGGACTACTTTGATGGCGGGTGGCGGCCGGGGCCAAGGCCCTTGCACGAATTTTGTGCATCTGACCTCTAGTCTATATATATATATATACACACACACACACACATACACACACACACAGTGGGGCCTTGACTTACGAGTGTCCTGACTAACGAGTTTTTTGAGATACCAGCTGTCTCTCGGCCAATTTTTTGCATTGAGTTGATAGAGTAATTTGAGTTAACGAGCTCCTTAACGAGCTCGGTCTCAGAACGAATTAAACTCGTAAGTCAAGGCCCCACTGTATTAGTCTCTCCATTTTACAGATGGGAACACCCAGGCTCGAAGAGCCGGTTTTTAAATCTCTTCCGTGGCGTACATAAGAGGTCCGCGTAAGGATTTGAGTGTATCATTCATTTTACAGACAGGCACGTGGGACTCGGGGTTGGGACTTTGCCCAGGGCCACATAGATGGTTAATAGGAAGTTGCTGTGCCCCCCCCCCCTCCCACCAGCCGTGCCCTCTGACGGCCCTCCCTCCTGTCTTTGGCCCTGGCAGGCCTCGTGGTGAAGGACCCCAGCATCTATGACACGTTGGAGTCGGTGCGCTCGTGCCTATACGGGGCTGGCCTGCTCCCCGGCTCGCTGCCCTTCGGA